CCCTTCAAAGCAGTCAGTAAGACTGGGATTCTGAGTAGACTTGAACAGACATGCATTCATCTCATTTGGAAAGACCTGGATGCCAGGATTTAGATGGGATGGATCATGGTTACAGTCTCTGCCATATGAAATCCAATTTGGATCCTAAGAAACTCTGGGATTTAATCAGAAAATGTAATACTAAATCACATCTACAAGTCAAAGCTGGAATTAAAACAAACAGCTTTCACAGATCACCATCTGGTGATCTTCAACACATTTTTGGTCCTCTTATGTCCACCCAGGTTTTAGCCAGCTCTTCGCTTCTTCTGCTGATCCTGGAGTTGTTATTACTTTCAAAATCATTGTTTGTTTTCATCTACAACTAAGTTAAATAGTGACACTCTGCCACAAAATCCCATTATGCTCGTCATAATGTGGATAAGTGGTGAAAGTTCTGCTGGAGACCTCATTCTGGCTTTTGGCTTTTTTTGGTCAGTTGGTGACAGTACGCAACTCTGAGAAAGGCTGTGGGTCTCAAAGGCTTCCAAAACTTTTGTCTCCCTTGGGCAAGGAGATATAGTTTGTCTTAATGGTTCCAGACGGTTTCTAGAGATTAGTATTGCATAGTTACATTGTGTTGATGATCACTGTCAAAGCAGGCAAGCAGTAATTAATTGATTTCATCTGTGTCTACTTCGTGGCAGAAGGTAATTTCTAATGCCCATTCCTAGGAATGGCAGAGGGCATCAGATAGGTCATTGCTACTGGGATACAGGTATGTTCAGAGACTGTCTCTCTTTGTAAACGCTAATACAGAAGATAAGCTATTGTCATGAACTTACTATAGCTTGAAGTCTGAACACTGAATATACAACCAGCTACGCTATAAAATTTTAAGCGTTATTTCATGATAAAATTCACCCAAATACAAAGACTGAAAATAGCGCCTTCTCTCCAGTCCTGGCGGAAACATTAGGTCTTCCTGAGTTTGAAGTAACATACACTTTGTATGCATGAGGATATAAAGAAATATATTTAAGTGGAGTGGATTTAAAATATAATTTTGATTAAAAAACAAACCAAACTAAAAAATGCTAAGATATTATCAGAAACTAGATTATATTGCCATCCAGAAGAACCTCGACAAACTCAGAAAGTGGGCCCATGTGAACCTAATGAGATTCTACATAACAAAGTGCAAGGTTTTGCATTTGGGTTGGAGTAAACCCAGGTATATACACAGACTGGGAGAAGATTCCCTTGAGAGCAGCCCTGCAGAGAAGGACCTGGGGATCCTGGTGGATGAAAAACTTAACGTGAGCAAGCAGCGTGTACTTACAGCTCAGAAAGGAAATGGTATCCTGGGCTCCATCAGGAGAGGGGTGGCCAGCAGGGACAGGGATGCGATCGTCCCCCTCTACTCTGCCCTCATGAGGCCCCATGTGGAGCAGGTCTGGGGCCCTCAGCACAGGAAGGACGTGGAGCTGTTGGAGAGGGTCCAGAGGAGGGCACAGAGGGCTGGAGCAGCTCTGCTACAAAGACAGGCTGAGGGAGTTGGGCTGGGCAGAACAAGCCCAGCCTGGAGAAGAGAAGGAAGTGAGAAGACCTAATTGCAGCCTTACAGTATTTAAAAGGGGATTGTAAACAAGAGAGGAATCAACTTTTTACACAGATAGACAGTGATAGGCCAAGGGGGAATGGTTTTAAGCTCAAGGAGGGAAGGTCTAGATTGGATACTGGGGAAGGTCTTTACACAGAAGGTGGGGTGCTGGAACAGGCTGCCCAGAGAGGCTGGGGGCGCTCCGTCCCTGGAGGTGTTCGAGGAAGGCCAGGCTGGATGGGGCCCTGGGCAGCCTGGTGTAGTGCCAGATCTGGAGGTTGGTGGCGCTACCTGTGGCAGGGGTTGGAACTTGATGATTCTTGGGGTCCCTTCCAACCCAAGCCATTCTATGATTCTAAGATTCTATCATATTAACATCATATTAACACATGGTAATATGTTTCCATAAAAGACTTTTCTTCCAAATCTGCTCACTCGCAGGCTTTTCATGCAATGCCCAGGATTAAATGCACAGCTGATTAACAGCTGTGTTGAAGTCTGGCACCACTTAGAATTCTCCTAGAGAAAAAATAAAAAACCACCTAGTATTTGCCTTAATATTGTGCTTTTTCCCTTCCTTTTGAACATTTGACAAATAAAACACTATTGTGTAGTTTTGGTTGGAAGATCACATCACCTCAGAGGAGAGAGGCACTTTCGATTAAGTCTAAACCTGAATGGGAGAACCTCTGTCAGTGACTTAGGAAATCCTGAATGCAAGGTGCTATAGCGAGTATGCTGCAGTTGTCTTTCATTATAATTTTTGGAATATCTGTTAACTCTGATAGATTATTACAATTACATATTCAAGAAAGAACAATATACCTTTTTTCCCTCACTCTGCCACAATGGTTCCAATATTTAATATAAGTGAGGATTTTTCAGAGTTCAAAATTCAGAAACTGTTCAAAACTTTGTCTCATACGTCACCACACAAGGTCAGAGTTACGATCCCTATCATATAACATTCATGTTCTGGCTGTTTTTTGAATCATTAGAGTTATGTAAGTGTCTTTATAGACATTCTGTGAGAGCTCTCTGAAGTCGTATTTTCAGCAGTTGTTATTTTGGCTGTGGGGATTGGGAATTCCACCCCAGAGTCTTGTTCTTCAAACTGATTTACTTATTAAGGGCAAGATCTGTCCTAACTTATGTGAGATAGTTTCTAAAATACAGAATTACATAGTTTTGATTCATTTCATTGTTTGCTTCCATAGATGCATCTCATGGCATCACAGAAGAAGCATTTGAAGGAGAAATGCAGATTTTTTTTCTCATTAGTCTGGCAAGTGTTTCCTCAAAGAAAAACAACCTGCAGGTTTTAGTACTGAGCACAGTCACTGGCCCCAGCCTGACAGGCAAATTTCTCCTTGTGCAGGTTTGCCATCACTGTTTAAATGAGTCTTTCTGGATACTCTGTACATTTTGAATAGAAGCCTAACCAATTCTGTATGTGGATTCACTTGATCACAAACCTGTTAAGAGCAGCCAGGTGGAAATCCAATACTTGAGCAAAAGACTTATGCAAAAGCCAGCATTCTTTTAGCTCACGCTACTGTTTGCCACTATTCTGCAGTCCATGCATGAAACATGCGAATATAGTATTTCATGGCAGGCCTGGGTACATCTGAAATAAACTCGCAAGTAATCTCTTCTGGTTATGGTGTAGTAACAGCTATCAGATTGAACAGCACCTTGTATATCACCTTTTGTTTAACAGGTGAGTGCTGGATATATAAATACACCACAAATGCATCACAAAGGATCTCTGGTGATTCACAGACAAAATGAGAACATAATATGAGACAGACAGGAGAGGAAACTGCCCTCTTTTTGACAGAACTATTTTGGATTCCACTACTCCAGAGCTGGTCCCAACAGTGTGAGCATGACCAGAGACTGGACTGCTCACTCTGCCTAAAAACCCAGCTCTGCTGAAGCTACTGAGAATTCTGCATCCTTCCTCTCAACATATCTTTTTTTTTTTTAAATAATAAAAAAAGAGCCACGCTTTCAATGAAGGCTTTTGAGGATTATTAATGCACTGTTGATTAAATAAAATTAACATATAGCAAGTTTGTGTTGAGTGCAATAACTCAGGTTTATCAATTTTTATCAAGAATAACAGTTTTTATCTACTTCTGAACCAGCAGGTACCACTCATACATATGATACAAGTGACATATAAGTTTTTGTTAAACACATCACAGAAAAGACAACAGGAATTATTCCATTCTGTCAAACATGCCTAGAACTCATAGAATCGTAGAATCATTTAATGGTTTGGGTTGGAAGGGACCTTAGAAGATTGTATTATTCTAACCACCCTATCATGAGAAAGGAAATCTCCCACTATACCATGATACTCAAAGCCTCGTCCAATCTGGCCTTTAAAACTGTGCAAAGCCAGTTGGACAACTGTAATCCCATTGACATAAGAACTTCCACAAATTAACAAAAAGCCGAATAATTTTTTTCAAGACTATCAAAATATCCTCAATATCCAGTGGCTTTCAACTCATAGAATAATTTATAATTATTACAGAAATAAGCACTTTTTTTCTTATTGCTCTATTTTTTACAATGATTTGTAAAAGGAAGCATCTTTCATTTCATAATCGCACGTAAGTTGATTTAGCGTAAAGCCTTCGTAACATAAGGTAGGTCTAAATGAAAAGATTATGGTACCAGATTGAACAAGAAAGCAACGGAAAGCAGGTGTTTTTTAATAGTAATAATAAAAATCAAATTCCATATTTAATTAGGGATTCTTATGGGTTGCTTCTAATTAATAGCACATTATTATTTGTATGAATTCAAAACCAGTAGAAATATAACATTCTGTCACCTAAAACCATTAAAAACAATTATTAGAATCATTCCTTGCCATTGAATGAACTTTGTAGTTTTGACTGGAGTAATTACTGGAGACAGCAGTGTAGATAACTTAAAGGGCAAACTCCAACCACCAGCAAAAAGTAAAAAAGTTTAATCCAGAATTTCCAAATTGAAAGCAATCTTGGAAGTAATATCAAATCCATAATTTATTTATAACCATTAACATTTTCATTACAAAATTAGAGACATGGATACAGCTATTTTCCTTATTTCTTTTCAACCTTTTTCTCAACCTTTTTTTTCCTGCTTTGCTCATGTTTTACAGCAACTCTCTTGAGACTACAAGAAGTATATCTTTTAAAAACATCCATAAAACCTTATGCCATTATCTGACAGCTGATGCAAATATAGCCAGCTCGTTTAGCATAAGATTTCATCGCTTGTTGAAACAATACTTGGTTGCTCTTGGCTAATATAACTAGTGTCTAGAAATTGCAAGCTCCAAAGACACTTTAAACCATGCAAACAGAAGCAGGCTTTAGAAAGGCAGACATAGTCAGGATCTGACAAAAGCAGACCATCTAAATGCTATGTTTATTTAAATTCTTCACACTCTTTCTTTGACATGAAGAGACAGCATTCACATATCCTCCACAGTTCATCAATCTTACCGGGATGCAATAGCACTTTAATCAGAACTAGTGAAAGTAATGCAGTCCACAGCTAATATTCAGAAGGTGCTTCTCTGCATTTCTGTGCAGAAGGATGCTTAACCAGCAGAGTATTCTTAAAGGATCCCCCAAATAGGAATCCCCAACACTTGCCTAAACAAAAATGCAAAGAATCTTTAATCAAGGAATTCTTTGCTTAAGTAGTTTCATTGTTAAAACAAACAAACTTTGGAAAGTTCCCTGTTACATCCTTACATTTAGCTTGAGAGTTAATTTATAGCTTCAGTGAAATGTGAGAGATGACACAGAGACATCTGTTTACTGAATATCTTGAAATTAAACTAAAATAGAATATGAAAAAGGCTAGTAGAAAACAGAGCATTGGTATAGCTTGACACAACTTCACAGTGTTCTCTGCAGTTAGTAGGTAAACTACTGTATACAAGTTTGGGAAGAATACTGGCAGTAGGTTCTCTGGGTAGGCTTTCATCGTTGTGACTGATCACTAGAAATCACTCTGAGCTGCCAGAGAACAAATTCCACTGACTGTGTGCTCATTGCTTTCTAAAAAAAATCTTTTGGAATTAGATTTTCAGAGTTACACATGATCAGTCGTTGTTTTAATCACTGCTTTGCTGTTCTGTGGTTTCTTAGGCAGTAGATACCGCCCTTTCAACTTTTTAATTTTTAATGCAATTTTAATTCATAATCCAATGATATGTGTTTCTGTCATGCAATTATAATTGCAAACCGAAATTGTCCATACAGCAGATCTAGAATGTTTACATGAAGCAGCCAGCAACACAGGAAGCTCTGAAATGCTTCTTTAGAACAAGTACATTTTAAATATTAGGAGGCTTTAAGTAACACAATAGTAACAATAATTTAGACTTCAAAGAAACAGTAAGCACACAATTCTTGCAGCACTGTACTCCAGTCTGGGTCTTACTTACTGTTTGAAGTACTTCTGCTCGCGTCCTCTCCCTTTGCAGCACATTTCCACTTTGCTCCATTGTTCTTAGGAATGCCAACTGGTTTTGAGCACATCTTGATAACAGTCACTCTTCAAATTATGATTTTCTATGTTAACTGCACATTTTCAGTGTATTAAAAAAATCTAAGAAGAATCTAAATCTAGGTGTAAAACTTGGAATCCACTCAGAATCAAGGACTGTGCTTCAGAATAGGTACCTGCAATTCTAAAAACATGAAAGCAAGATTGAATACAAGAACACCTGTGATCTCTACATAGTATTTCCTATTTAGCAATTTTGTATTGGGTTACCAACTGATTATTACCTGGCAGCTGCAATGCTAACACTCATCAACAAATTTGTCTGTTGGAAAATCACAGAATCACAGAATGGTTTGGGTTAGAGGGAACCTTTAAGATCATCTAGTTCCAACCCCCTGCTAAAGGCGGGGACTCCTCCCTCTAGACCAGCTTGCTCAAAGCCCACCCAGCCTGGCCTTGAATGCTTCCATGGAGGGGCATTCAGAACCTCACTGGGCAACCTATTCCAGTGTCACCACCCTCACAGTCAAGAATTTCTTCCTAATAGCTAGTCTAAATCTACCCCTCATCCAGTTTAAAAGCATTTACCCCTGTCCAGCTGCTACCTGCCCTTATAAAAAGTCCCTTCTCAGCTTTCCTGTAGGCCCCTTTAGGTACTGGAAGGAAAAAATACTGTTGTTCTTTCCCTGTTATCGTGCCACTGATGACAGCCAGAACTTCTATAAGAATTCTATGAAGAAATATTTGTAAGTAATTTTTCTAAGGAGAAGGTCTCTCAGCCTTTCCTTAAGCTGAAAATGCTTAGATTTAAGCTAAAATGCCAAGACCCCACTTCTACAACAGCAGCTGAGGGGACTCTGCCCATAAGAGCCACGCTTCCTCACATCCTATTAATAAGGTTACAGCATATGCTTCCTAAGGGGTTTGACAACTCTCTGATCTGCTTCACCTTAGAGTAAAAGCAGATAATGAACCATGTGCTGATATGGGGATGAGGGATAGAGGAGTTGTGTCAGCACTGTGACTGCTCTGGGTTCCCACTCAAAGAGCCATGCTATGCAAGGGTGGAGGGAGTATTGACCCCATTCCTTAGGCATTCCAATAAACAACTACATTTATTTAACAAACTGTAGATTAACACCAACCTGTAGTTTAATAATTCCATACAAAAACACCGTGATTCATATGAATAAAACATGCATTGACCATGCTCACTTTCCTTGAGCTCTTGCTTTGCATTCTTCCACTGCAGTTGCACTACAGCGCTCCTTAGTACTTAAAAAATCTACAGGGGATAAGAAATAAACACCTATTATTATGCCAAAAAGGCAAAACAGCATAGTAGCAAAAAGTTTTGAGTATCTATTAATTCTCAGAATCTTTGAATTCTCAGTAAAGTAAGTGTGAGCATAATGCAATTTTGATTAAATTAATGCTTACGTACTTCACTGTCTTCCCATTCTAGGTTGGCTAGGATTGGCTGAATCTGATTTAAAACCATGGCCCCAGCTATCTGCTGAGTGGTAGTGGTGAGAAGAGTTCTTTTTTTGCAGTGGGTGTGCAGGTGGGTGCAGGAGTTTTCTCAGTCTATAGCAATCAAGTCAGAAAAGCAGCTAATAAAATCCATCTCTGGCAGGGTATGTTCTTACATTTGTTCTTTCATGCCTAAAGACTGCAATACCTGTGCTGCGGATTTGATTACTGTGAGCCTACATCTGTTAAATGAAAACCCGTGAAATTACTCAGAAAGCTTTTGTAACATGAGAAACAAAGTTTGATTTTTTTTTTTTCATTCACGATCCAAGAAAACAGTTTCTCAGATTCAAGTTACTGCTTTGGCTTTCAAGCATCAAATATAGCCACATTCTTTCTGATATTAGCTGGAGATAATAAATGCAGATGTACTTTTATAGGTATTAGGTTAGGAACTACTTGCCATAGGTAAAATGGTTTACCACAAACTGCAGAGAATTTAACTTGAGTTTAAATTACTCACAGAGGAATCCTCAGGCTCCAATTCTGATTGTCCTTTGTGCTATCTGAGGATTTATTCTAGAAAGTAAATGAAAATTGGTGTCTGCTCATCTTTTTGCTACCAGATACTCTTTATTGTATCCTTCCTCGCTTTTTTGTTTTGTTTTGCTTTGCTTTTTTGCTTTTTTTTTCTTATTTATCTAAGCCAGAAGTTTGAAAAAGCAAAATAAGAAATCTCTTATTTTGTAAACAGGAAGTATAAAATGTTTCTTTTTACCCTCAAAGAATTGACTCTGTCCACTGCAGCAAATCCTTTGAGTGTGGTGTCTTTATCGCTAATATGTACAAAGAACAGTGACAGAAGAAGGAAGAAGGGGAACAAAAAAGCTAACAAGTAGCTGCTGTTGCCCAGAAACAGGCTAACAAGCTACAGAAAGGGAAAATTATTAAAAAGAACACACAAGTCAGATGTTTCAGGCTTTTTTCAGTAAAAAAGCTTGGGCTTTTTTATTTAGGGTGAAAAAAGTTTTAGATAATAAAACAATGATAAAGTTGCCTGGATTCAGGGAGGCTTTTGTCAGTGATTGGTTTTCAGGGGGTTCTCATGTGGAACAGCCAGTGTGGGTGGCTGTTACCCATGGCAGCGAACTGCTGGGGACTGTAAAACAGCCATAGCTTTCCTGCTTCCATTTCCTCTGCCAGAGCTCTGAAAAACACACAGGCCTGCTATGACCACAAATCTGAACATTTTAAGGCTGAGCATTTTAAGGATGCTGCTGACATCCTCCAGTCCTCGGCTGTGCACACCTGCACTGCTGAGCAGCACAGCTTCCCAGGTGCTGGGTGCCAGGCCTTCCCCTTTTCTCCCGTTCCTCGCCAGACAGCTGCATGTTACCTTTATCCTCATCACTGAGGTGGCCACCTTCCCACATCTTTAAGAAGGCTTTGGCTGGCTCTGGTCACACCTCAGTCTTTTTCTGTTTAAGTGCTACCCAAGAGCTAGAAGATGTAGAGTTCTGGGAAACTCTTACTTTGCATTGGTTCTCTCTAATGCAGGCATTTACAAAAAGGCATTAATGGCATCTGATGACTAGAAAAATAACTTATTTCTCTTTACCTTGAAGTTGCCTAATTTCTTGTCCTCTCAGAAATCCTGTATGAAGTGGACCTGCAGATTCTAATTACTAGGGTCTCCTCTAAAAGTCATTGCATGGAAAGCTTCTGATTGCAGAAACTTTTGGATTTGACTGGCCAATAAACATGAGGTTTTAAAAACAGATGTGCTGTGTCCAGCACACAGAATGCCCTTCCCTTCCAAAGGGGGAGGAATAAGGCCATAAGAAGGAGGCGGATAAGTTCAGTTTGAATTCCCACCTGAGAGCTGGCATGCAGACAATCCACTTTACGCCAGTGTGGTGCTCAAAAGGAGGAGTGGGCACCTCATTTAAATCTGCATCATGCTAGTAAAGGAACATGAGCTGGTTTTGAAATTGTTCTCCAGCAGTGTGGAGGAAGACCAGAGACAGGAGTTTGGGATCCGCTTCAGAGCACAGGCCGAAGGAGGAGACATTTACAACACCTTAGAACAGTTCCCAGAAGAGGAGACAGCAGCAGTGGGGCAGGAAGGTCTTAAGGGTATTAACAGCTATATCTATTAAATCAGCCATCCAGCGCAACCATTCCAGTTCCCTTTATGGTACTGACAATATGAAGCAGAAGTATTTCCTCCTGATGTTTTTCCAACAGTAATTTCATTTGAGTTTAAGAGCTAGGAAGTGGGAATGTGTCAGAGGATGGCACTTCTGCATCACATTGGAGCATGGCTGGGTGGACCATCCCTCAGGGTCTTGGGAGGGAAAGAAGAGAATGCTGAAGACATGCAACATTTATGTTTGTATTTTTATTCTTTCCCATATGATGACTCTGTATGTCTCATGGGAACTCCCAAGTGACGAGCCACAAACTCTAGTTGATGTCTGTTTAAAATCAGTTTGCTGTGCTCCTGCAGACTGTCCTTCAAGCAAAGGTAGTGTATACAAAATATGATGTATTTACTGAAAATGTGCCTTTTTCCTTTGAAGCTGCCTGTAATCACATAGCTAGGGAATAGTCTGATATTTAGATTTTCAAGTATATGGTTATGTTTAGTGTGTTTGTCATTTTTTCCCTTTCCTGCTGCACTGCTTGTGGTCATAAATTATGTTACAAAAAGAATGAGGACTGAGAGCGAGTCATAGCAGCCCTGAAACAAGAGGCCAAGAAACTAGTCAGGGACTTTTAGGTGGTGGCCATCTCCTCTGAGCCTCCTAAGAGCGATTTCAGATGGCTCCCTAAAACAGTTGCCACTCAGAATAGAGTCTGGCTATTTCCCATGATGCTGAATGCCCAAAGGGATCTGGTGATGAGTCTAACACATCTTCTTGGGAGAGAGGCTGGCCAGCTGCCACAGCTTCTCCCCTGTGCGGCCAGACTTAGTCTCCTGCTCAAGAGAGCTGGCTTTGAGCCCATGGGATAAATTCTTTGCTTGGATATGGAAGTACAAATTTTGAAAGTCTTAGCTGGTTTCAAAGGAGGTATTCCAGATTTACACCAGTTTTCCTATGGTCAGAAGCCAAACCGAGGTCTAGAGAATAAAAAAAAAAATTTATAAGGTTCCTTTACAAAGCTTTCAAACAGGATTTATCTTCTGGTTAAAAATACATTTCAGTTGACTTCATCCTTGTCAGCTACTGAGCAATATCCCAAAAATGGTATTTTGCAGGATTTCTTTACTTGTAAATGTTTATATATGTGAACAGTACCGTGGAAATAATTTAAACTATAAATTTACTGTCAACTAATTAAAAAAATATTGTTGTTTCACTATTTTTCCGGAAAAATTTTAATAGAGCAGTTCATATTCTTTTAGGGTAGACTATTAATGCAACTCCACAGTTGCAGATATGAGCTCCAAATATTGGCCTCTGGCAACTATGCACTGATGCAATGGGATTCTACTGCTTAGTGTCACTCTATGTTAATTTTTGGGCAATATTTGTTTACAAATTTTGTTTTTCAATACTTTAGTCATTAAGACTAGGGAAGTGTAATTATAAACAATGCTTAAGTATTTTCTTTCATTTCCTGAAGAAAAATCCTTTTTTAAATATAAGCTATTCTGTGCTATAGTTGACATCACCTATGATTCTGTTTGGGACAGTATTTGGGAATCCTGGACATTTCAAAAATATGCTATTGCATGTAAGTGGGTCTGTCCCTAAGGTTGCTTAACACTTCATAAAATCATATTTTCCATTGCTTAAAGCACCGATAAAACTTCAACCATGTGAGCTGCATTTTCTGTGCTTTCTGCTTCAGGCTCCTCTTATTTCTCTACAAAAAGTTTCAGATGGAGCACTTCAGCCTGGTAAAACCATTTAGTTTTGCTCAGTAAAACAAGTGGGGCATGGGCACAGGAAGAGGCAATGGGAATGAAGTCAGAACCAAAGGGAAGGAAACTAATCTGGGATACAGCTACTAGGAAGGGGAAAGACAGTCCAGGGAAAGAGGATGGAGCAAGGAATTATACTGACTGGTAAGGTCTGTGGAAAAGGGAATGACAGAACTGAAATACGTCTTGAAGACTGAGCTGATAGAGACAGAATAGAATTGGATAAGGAATCTGGAAATGTTTCTTGTTGCCCTTCAGAACTGCAATCAGATTCAACTCATGCTGGTCTTTGGCATTCCTAACACCATCCTTTTCCATACTTTCCTGCTCATCAAGACAGACCACTCTCGAGCTTGGAGGAGGTGATCTCTGAAAATGACACAGAAGAGCTGCTGCAGAAGAAAACATCCTGAACATTAAATGCTGTCTCAGGTTATAGTGTGCCATATAGCCTTGCATCTGTCAAAATTTTTTTGCCGTCCTCTCACTAACTGAGGCAATTATAGACAGCATATTTTCACAACTATTCATCTCCTATTTTATGGATGTCTGTCCTGAACTTAGACTGTGATTGACAGAAATGCTGAGCACTATTTATTCCAACTGAGACAAATTGCAATTTGTAATTTGAACATAAAAAGCTGTATTGTTCTAAACACCATGCTGAGAGCATCTTCCAAGTTTGGAGAAACTTCTGACCTTCATCTCTCTGTGCCTCAATGAAATGCCATCCCTTATCTTGCAAGAGTTTGTGAAGTTAAATTAATTAGTCAGTGTGAAGCCCTTAGAGACAGTCGTGAGTGATAGATGAGACAGAAAAGTCTGTGAGATAACTATTCCTCTTCTGAGATGCTTTGAACAGTGACAAACAAATAAGATTAGTGCCACACACAGCATAAAAAGCATACCAGCAGGTGCTCGGCAGGTTTTTGTGAGACTGTTTACCCTCAGCACTGAAAGAGGCAAGTGTCCTTTGTCAGACAATGGCAAACATCAATGCTGCAAGGAAAAATACATTTCATTAATATCATAGAACATATTTTCTATAGAATTACGGTACTGTAATCACTGCAGCTTTCCCAGGTATTTTGTTACATCCCCCTTCACAGAAACAAAGCTTGCTGTAAGCCTAAGTTAGCAGCTTAAAACATGAACACTCTCCCCTGCTATCTTTCATGGAAATCAGATTATTTAGTGCCAGATTTTCAAGTCTGCTCTTTCTAGAAGATGGGGTGTGCATTTATAATTCAACAACTGCCATTCTGACAGCAGAGAAACTTCTCTCCTAACTGCTTCAGATTTAGAATGTATGAACTTTAAAGCCAAGGATATAATCCGTTCGGTGAAAATTTTGCAGTGGTCAAACCCCAGCTGTAGCCATGGAGTTCCCGTGGCTTTACAGCACAGTGAAACTGAAGCAAATGGGATGAGTTGTTGAGCATAAAATTCTGGACCTCTGGCATCTCTCAAAACCACCCAAACCTGTTTCTCCCTCTGACACTCTTCTGTGAGTTCTCTTCACAACTTGACTTCTCTTCAAGTTAGAAATCTGCTTCTGCTTTATCTGTAGCTGGTTTTTTGTGCTGCTTCTCTTTCCTCTGTGCTATTTATTTTGCAGATATGTTTTCCAAGAATAATCACATCTCCTCTCAGCTTTCTTTTGTTGAGCTAAATGAGATAAACTCTTAAACTGCCTCACATAAAATGGACTTCCTGTTCTCTTGGGAATACTCTTTCTCCAATTCCTGCATTTTGAACTCAGTGTTTCAGTAAGGCTGATCAGAACTGTAGTCTAGAGAACACAGTGACACTGGAATTTCCTGATGGCCAGCTGGAAAACACTTTACTGGCACTTGAAACCCTGCACTACCTAGCAAAAGGCATCTGTGGCATACAAGGCTTTACAGATGTCCTAAATTTAACATGCCCACATCTGGTATACCAGCAGAGATGAGTTAGGCTGGGAACACAAACAATATGCTCTGGAAGCTAGAACTGGATCTAAAGTCTTCACTTCAGAGTCACAGCAATTCATTCTTTATTGCAAACAAAACAACGAACAAAACCAAAAAACAACCCAAAAGCCAAAAAGAGAACAAAAACATATCATCTAGAGGAATATTCTGTAATAATTAAAATTCCTCTTAAATTATGATTACTGCCCTGTCAGACTATGAGCAAAACTGTAAAAATGAAATGAGCTTACAAGAAGCCAGTCCCATTTCCACCGAATGCACCAAAGGAGTGAGGATGGGAGAAGTGGCCTTGCTGTGCCTGGGGCAGGAATGCTGCTGCCCAGCCCTCTGGCAGCGCTGGGGAAAATCAGGAGGAGAAGGCGAGTGAGGCGCTGTGCTGAGGGCCGCAGGAGTAACTGCATCCTTCCTGTGCCACTCTGCAGTTGCCATCACAGAAGTTTACACTTTTCCTTGATGTCATTTACCCCACTGAAATCTATTTCTCCAAACTGTGACAACTGTCCATTTTCACACAAGTAAAGAAGACTTTATCCAGCAGAAAAAAAGAAACATTTGCACTTGTGCTCATTCCCCTCTGCCTCTATCTGATAACTGGACCAATTACTTGGTGGTGGGAAAAAGGGAATAAAAATGCAGTACTTGGAGGAATCTGAGCCTGTGCCTTCAACTTTTAAATGTGACAGGATCAAAAATAATTTTTCATTTAATTCAATAAGCATCTGGTTGACATGTCAGGTACTTCGCAGTCTGTAAGACATTGTTAAAAATGTAACCAGCCATGGAGGTTTCAGGAGGAATCAGTATGTGTGGCATGTTCCGGTGGATGACAGAAATAAATCCTTTACATACAATGTCAAAGGCAGAATTCTTCAGCCTACACAGTCACAATGAAAAGCAGGATGATCCTAGGTGAAAAGATATTTTTAAGTCTGTACTACTGTTAAGATTACACAATCACCCATTTGGCTTATGAAAACTGAAGGTACAGAGATGAGAAGGCCAAGGAAAGGACTTCACAGCTTCCCAGTTTATTATGGGCAGCAAAATGTTGTCTGAAAAGGCCGTATAGGTACGAGGACTAAAGAGCGGTGATGTTGTCAGGCCATGGAGAGTATGGGGCATGAAATGCCCTGGACGTGTCTCTTAACAATTGCATGAAAAATACACATCCTTTAAATCCTTTGTGGGGCTATTAACAATTTTTATGAATATTTACAATTTTATTCCTGATAATCTGTTGTGGTTCTTCACAGCTACCTGAACATCCCCCTTGTCGCTGCAGTTCTAATGTTACTATATTCTGAACAAAACCACACCAAAAAAACACGCTGAAAGTAATGCTCTTCTCTCTTAAACATGCTTGGAATTTCACTAGCATGAACATTTTAGAAATCGCAATCTCTTATTACTATCTCTTATTTACACTGGGCTTAGGTACGGAAACGGAAATGAGAAAAGACAAAAATAAATGGCATCATCTTATCTTCAGAGCTGCCCCATGACTCTCCAACCTGCACAGAAGTCAGCTGGGATAGCACAGCCAGCCCGAGCACCTCCACAGCACAGCGCTCACAAACCTTTCATGGGGCAGCTGGGCTCTGTAAGAGGGATGGCCAGCCTAAAGCAAGGCTGTTCCTTAAATGAAGTCAGCTTCAAGCTCGATCAGGAAACTCCAGAAAAACGGTTCCCTGGTAGGCAGGAAGACTGACGTTTGCATGGCGTTAGGGGCCACAGATGAAACAAGCTGCCCCCAGAGGTTAGAAAGGCCTGGAAGCTTTGATGTAGCTGGAGCATGGCTCCTTTGTTTGTAAAAGGCTCCCCTGTGGAGTTTTTGTTTGGGTTGTTATGATCTGTTTAACTCAAAGAGCTGACAAAAAGCACTGGGGAACAAAACCATCTCTTTGAAAGTCTTTTTGCTGCTCAACTGCACTGGCCAGCCCTGCCAATTTTTAGCTATGCTTGCTCTTACTGCTCCAAAGGCTGCTTAAGCAAACAATTAAGCTTTGCTGATCACTTTAGGCACCAGAGTGGCAAAACAGGCGCTTTCTGCATAGCCAAGAATATACTCAGAACAAAAAAGCTTTCTCCCTCCCTCTTTCTCGTGTCTTGTATTAGGCAGCTCAAGGCTTCAGGTTTTAGTAGTCAAGGGCAACCTACCCTCAGCAAGGACTGTACTTCTGGTGTGTGAGAGCCTTGGACTGGGAAACATTCGTGTTAAAGGAGGGTGTTGGTTTACACTCAGTGTTCCTTATGTAAGGCCATCCCATCTGAATACCTGAAACAGTTCTGATTGCTGATCAAGGTTGCTGCATATTCCCCCTGCACAGACAGATTTGGTAAGTGCTGCTCATTATTTCCAAAACAAACCAGAACAGACCTTGCCTCCTGCTCGCTGCATTGGCTGTCTGTCTTCTCCCATGATCCAAATGATGGGCACAACGACTTTCTCATCACCAGCTGCACTCTGTGCATTTAATTCTGAAGCAGCAGCAAAGTCTAAAGGCAGAGAAAATATTGCTGTGTTGTTCCTACTTAACACAGCTTCGCAGTGTAAGATTTGGGTTGTACGTGCAAGCAGAAAACATATTGCTCCAAGGTGTGTGCCACAGTGGGATCATCAAAACTTATTTGATTGAGTGCAAAGATCAGGAAGCTGTTGTGCTGGGTTTGGAGTAACAATGTAGAATTAAGAGATGGTTCAGGAAGTTTAACATGTTGAAAAAAATGTTGCTCTATTCTGAAAAGACTTTTGGGGAATGATCGAAAACCCTGCTCTATCAGAGCACCTGATTTTATATGGAAAATATCTTTAAGAGAAAGAAAGGAAGCCAAACTTGAACAAGCTCATTGTCCACTTTTAAACTTAATGTATAGCAAATTCCATCTCTGACAGATTTTAGACTTCTTTACTTTCTGTCTGGCAGATGTAGATGTCATCACTCCAGCCATGTCTTACGGCCTCACCTTCAAACTCTTCCCTGTTCCACTTCACTCATGTTGCTGTGGGCAGAACACTGATGGACACAGTGTAAGAACGAACATCTACTTTCTTTGGTAGCAGTACCACATTTTTTTCTCTACAAACAGGATCACAAAGAACTGATTGAGAATGAACTTCTATTCTCCAGTCCTCTGCATACATTGACACAAAAGCCTTTAAATTTGTCCCACTGCTCAAGCTCCTGTACTGATTCCAGTTTACAGCATTTTCTCTCTTGACAGTTAAAGGATTTATTTCCACTGCAGAAGACAATGGGTGAAAAGTCACTATATAGGAGTCTTTTTTTGTGAGAAAAAAGGAGTTTTGCTTAATGCAATTATTTTATCCTGCCTTTATCTACCTAAAATGGCAGCACTTTATAGAACATTTGGAGAATGCAGGAGGTGTTTTGTGGGAAGTATTAATGAATAATTCACGAAGGATTAAAAATACTTTCTGATTTTAATTCAGAATCTTTTTATTTTCCCTTGGTTTCCTTCCCTATTTATATTGAATATAAACAAGGAACTTGTTGTAAAATAGATGAATGGGGATGAACTGGAGTGAAATAAGTCAAATAATTCCTAAAATAATTAGATAAATTCTAGACCCTGTATTCATACCTAAGTAAAAATGATTGCTTAGATATCCAGGTCATCCACACACTTTGTCACAGCTGCAAGGAATTTGTAGGTGGTGAAATATCTAAGAATCTGCCCATTTTTGTTGGCCTGAGACACTTGTTGCCTTGAGCTGTAGCTGAACCTTTCGCTGAGACTGAGCTTCTCTTTCAGCTTCAGTCATCAAGTGTTACTATAAAACAGGGCTGTGGAGACTACAGGGAAATGGGTAGGGATGCCAGAACAGATACTACAGCTGGGAATCGAATGTTGTTCTGAATCATTATCTGGAAGATTCTTCAGCTGCAGTCCTGTAGATAAACTGAGAGGAGCACTCACAGTGCAGTTCTTCAGTGTGGATATCCTTAACACACCCTTTCTACAATTATTTTTCCCAACTTACCGGAGCATTTTGAAGATTTC